ATAAAAACGAGTGAAAGATTCTGTTTATTACACAATTATCAATAAACTCATATTTTCCTTAAATTCCTTGAACTTTTTATACGCCCACATGAAAGGGGAGGCGTATATTGGCGTCACCCATGTATGTTCGTCCGACAGTCCACAATTGCTCGTTAACATTCTAGAAGGCGCAATTATTGAATGATTTTGACAATACTTAGTGTAAGCCTTTGTAATCACCCAAGAATGAAAATCAGACAAATCGATCACTTACCTCGTTAGCACTCTAGAAGGCACAATTCTTGACAGATGTGAGTGTTTGTTATCACCCATGGATGAACCATTACGAAAATCAAAAAATATTTGATATGAGTTATTGACCATGATCTTGGAAACTCGTTCAATTTTTAGATCGTAAACACTTAAGGACTTGATTCTTGCCAGATTTTGACAAAACTTGGTAATATTATTCAGTGGGCGTATATTACCTTGCCTGGCAAGCTATGTTTGTATACAGGGCCTTCATTTTGGAGTTGTCAACTTCAAAGAATGGAGGAAGGTGCAGGATCTGAGTTGACCTAGCTATTTTAATATTTTTGTAATAGCGCAATTTTAGCTAGAAAAAGCTGAAAATTGAGTCGAAAATAGAAAATTCGAATGATTTTCTATTCTGATTTCTAAAATAGAGGCTTTTTTGGCGCTATTCTCGAGCTATTTTCTATTTTAAGTGCTAACCTCAGATCCTGCACCTTCATGAAAGAATGTCATGTTGTTCTGTTTACATAATGTATGAATACATGACCCAATTTGTATAGTTATTAAACTATGCTACGAGTTCATATCGTTTTTATGAACCAGTGTAATCTACTAGATAACAGAAATATTGTGTGATCAAATTGATTCAATGATATCTAGCCTGTCTTCATGTACTGCTTAAAACCTTTGGTGAGATAGACAACAGACTCTATTCGAGCCGACAACTGTCTAAGTGACTGGAATAGAGGCGGATATTTCGTACCTCAAACATATTGTAAAAAATATAAAGACGAGACTGGAAAGGTTCTGTAATGGTTTCTAAATGACGGTTAAATTGAACTATCGTATGTTCCTTGATTATCTTTTGTTTCGTAATTTGGTGCTGGGGGTTCGAATCCTTCAGACATTGGAAGTCGGTCCACGAGAATTGATATAAAACTGGTTTTGCGAGTTATACGGTTATAAATAACTATAAATCACATCCTTGTTGAGACCAGGAAACAATATTTAGTAAAAAATTATCACTTCTGCTAAAACGTTTATCAATATTGTCACGTAAAGAGTCTCGCCCAGGAAGACACAACGGAATTCACTATTCGATATGATAATAATGATAGCTTGCCAGGCAAGGTAATATACGCCCACTGGCAGCTTTGACTTTGAATAAAAATATTTAGCAGTACAGTAACAATCACCAATATGAAATATTCAACCTTCAGTCATACACTTCTTTTGAACTCTTTAGGGCGATACTGAATAATATTGAATATGAGTTATTGCCCTTGTTCTTGAAAACGTGTTCAATTTTTAGCTCGTGAAAACTCTAGAAGGCAAATATTCAATCTTCAGCACGGGACTGAATAATAAAACCAAGTTTTGTCAAAATCCAGCAAGAATCATGCCTTTTAGTGTTTAAGAGCTAAATTTGAAAGCGTTTTCAAGAACAAGGGCAATAACTCATACTAAATATTTTTCAATTCTTCTGATTTTCAATAGGGTTCATCCTTGGGTGATTACGAACATTCACACCAAGTTTCATTAAAATCCGTCAAGAATTGTGCCTTGTAGAATGCTTATGAGCTAAAAAATTGAACGGGTTTTCAAGAGCAAGGGCAATAACTCATACTAAATATTTTTCGATTTTTCTGATTTTCAATAGGGTTTATCCTTGAGTGATAACAAACACTCACACCAAGTTTCGTCAAAATCCGTCAAGAATTGTCTCTTCTAGAGTGTTTACAAGCTAAAAATTGAACGCGTTTTCAAGAACAAGGGCAATAACCCATACTAAATATTTTTCGATTTTTCTGATTTTCAATATGGTTTATCCTTGGTTGATAACAATCACTCATGCCAATTTTCGCCAAAATCCATCAAGAATTGTGCTTCTAGAGTGTTTACGCGTTTTCAAGAACAAGGGCAATAACTCATACTAAATATTTTTCGTATCTTCTGATTTTCAATAGGGTTTAACCTTGGGTGATTACGAACATTCATACCAAGTTTTGTCAAAATCCGCCGTTTACGAGCAATTGTGGACGGACGGACGGACTTGGGTGACGGCAATATACGCATAAAAATCACTTAGTTTAAGAGTCAATTCGACACAGGAATGGTCTGTTCTATTTCCTGAAGTTATTTTTATCTTATCTACAAAGCTCATTCATTTGTCAGAAACTAGAAAGAAGTCCAATCTGGCCTTTTTGACTGGATTTTGTCTTGACCAAGTATATATTATATTATACTAATATCTACAGTTACATTCGATATTTAATTTGTATTATGCTGTAAGCTAAAATGTTTGCTCCTTCCTGCTTATAATAATCAGTTTGCAAACGAGCTTTTAACTCAGCATCCATGTACTTTTAGAGGAAATAGACAAAACTAAACAGGAAGTAGCCTTTTTTAACCAAACTTAAAAGTTACATCAGAATCAGACCACAAATTCTTTCTAGACCAAAGGAGAAGTAGGCCTATAATAGACTTAGCCTAATATTAATGATGACTGTACTGAAATATTATATATTATAGTATAATCGTCTTCTAAACTTGTAATAATATCATTTATATTAGAAGTTTGGTTCATCTTGATTTATAAGCAAGAAAGTATATTTTTGGCTATTTGTAAGTTAAGAGCTACCATGTTTCCATTAAAATCCCTTCTTTCATTTAAAACTTCAAATTCAAATTGTTCTTCATTAAAAGTGAAACTCCTCTAGAGTTATTTGTTCCAAAGCTAAAATATATCTCAAATCACCATTCTGATCTCAAAAGATTATGGATTCCATTTGTGAAATGAGTGTCTTGAATGCAACAAATATTTACCTCCTTATTTTGTAACATATTGAAAACATCCTTTCTTTTACTACTGTCTCTCAGACCTCTACAGTTGACAGATATAATTCTTAACATACTCATCTTTTCTACTTCATATAGATTAGATAACATTGCATTAAGTTTTCTTTGAGAAAAAGAAGTGTGTTAACATTACCTGGATGAAGATGAACTAAAAAACCTGAAATGATATGTTGTTTCACACACTCACACATACTGAAAAAATATACCAATAAAAATATGAGCAATGTGGACATTAAAATTAGTAATAAAATAGATAGATGACCCCGTGTTTCACATCTATCATTTGGAGAAGACTAAAAGAGTTTCAAAGCTAGATTCTTGAGTTCACAGTCTAAGTCATGCAGGTATTTTACTATGTTTATATGGAGCAGTGTATAGCATGACATTTAATAATAAAGTTTACAAAATTCTACAAGTTTGAGCTTCCATCTAAATAATCTAATTCAAGCAAATATAAGTAATGTCAACTTGGAAGTTATTGTTACCTGGTTGTATGAGAGTTATATCCTCACTGAACCTCGGGTTGGTAGTAAGAGAATTCATCAAGCACAGTTTATCATGGCACAGTTATATATTGTGAGATCAAAGTTCTAATGAAAGATAAACATTGTATAATTATTGAGAATGCCTGAAATATACTAATGCTGCACTGCATATTAAAGTTTGGTTGTCACACAAAGTAGAAATATAATAATTGTTCACTTGACTGTACTAAAATTGTACCAATTTTTAAAATTAAGGAAATTGTTAGTTATTTTTTACTGGAGGTTTTCCATGGATTATCTTTATTTTCACGAGTTTCTAACCACACCCTATTATACTTTTCTATAATTCTTGTATAAATCCTATCTCTACTGCGCAATGCTTTTTCTGCTAAAATTCCTTTTTTATCATAGCTGGAAGGTCTGTCCTTATTGATTTACCCCGGGGAAGGGTATGACCATAGCTACTTGATAGAATCTGATTTTTATCTGAGAGGCGAGGAAAACTTCACAAGGAATGCTCCTGATTTTTCGAGTTTAGATTTTTAGGTTTTCACACAATTATTGAGTCTATAAATGTTTTTGATAGTTTTAGTTCATTGAGTAAATAATCTTTAACAATCTTTTCAACATTTTCGTTGTTTACCTTTTCAAATCCATAAAGAATATTATATCGTCTGCTTCTAGACTCCAAATAAAGTGACTTGTCGTCTGTATTTGTGACACGTGACTCTAGTACACTGTTTTTTTTCTTCCAAATAAGAAATGCGTCTCTCTATTGTCTGTGTAAGTTAAAAAGTTTTTTGAATTTTTTCGATATTTTTCAAGAGAATTGGAATATCAACCTCAAAATAGTACTGTTAGTCTTAGAAAGTTTTTGCGTTAATAAAAATATAATCTTTTGTAAGTTTACATTGAAACAAAACACATTTCTCTCCTAGAAATTTCAACCCAAAAAAGTTGTCCTCTGTAAAAACAAATTTTGAAGACATAATGTGCTCATGTTTATATTTTTATCAAGGCAAAGACATTCTAAGACTATCAGTACTATTTTGAAGCTGCTATTCCAATTCTCATAGAAATAATAAGAAAAAATCAAAAAACTTTTTACTTTGCTCAGACAATAGTTTTTTGTATAGATCTGATTGTTCATCTGTACATTTTTCTAGCTCAGTCAATTTATCATTATGAAATTTCAAAGCACTTATAGTTTCATTTATTTCTTGTTTCAGTAAAATTCAGATCGCCTTTTACACAGCCTATTTCCTTATTAATGTTATTTATAGAACGTTCTACATTACCGAGCATTTGGATTAATTTTTCGTCCAGTTGTCCTATGATATCTTACATGTATTACAAGTTCTCGTTGGTAACATGCTGGCTTTGTCTTGCTTTCATTTTTTTTCTGTTGTTAGTTAAACAAACATGGCGGACCTGTTTGGTGATGAAGTATTTTGGTTATTATGATATCTTTCCCCCTCCTGGTTTTGACATTTCGGGATTATTATCGCTGTAATTTACCGTCTTGTATAATATTCTGTAGATTCTTGGCTTGTTGTTTGAATCTTATTGAGGTCTGTCGGAGTATTTGATGTAAAACACGGGGTCACAGCTCACTACATGCGTCCGTTCATCTCCGCTAAGTCTCACTCTCAATCAAAAATCAATATTTGAGTTAGTTTTAGACAAGATCTTATAATTACATGATAAAATAATTACTGTTTTATTTATTACAGATTGATTTAAAAATGTCAACTAGAACATCTTTAGTTGATGCCGTAAAGAACAATGATCTATTGGATGTAAATAGTTTAATACAGAGTGGTAGTTGTAATGTCAACTTACAGAACGGTAGAGGTGAAATACCATTACATACAGCTGTATTAAATGATAATGTAGACATTGTAAAGTGTTTAATACAGTGTAAAAACTGTGATGTTAACTTACAGACCAGTAGAGGTTATGTACCATTACATATAGCTGTAGACTGGAATCAGGTAGACATTGTAAAGTGTTTAATACAGTGTAGTACCTGTAATACTAATATTAAAGATAAGAACGGGTATTCACCATTCTCCACTACGAGAGGATTACAATTTCTTTATAAAATAGCACAACGTCAGGATCTAGAATTAGTTCAAGTTTTAATCCAACATAATGTTGATGTTTTAACTAATCATGTTAATAATCAGCTTCAATTAGTTAAATTAATTCTGAGTAAAAATGATTTTAGATCTGTATGGTTTTTTATTCAGAATGGTCTCTATATTAATTCTTTAACATCATCAGGTGAAAATATAGTCCATCTATTAGCTCAATTTTATATGGATTATTTCTATATAGATTTTAGTTTTTTGTTTTATTATAAATTAGATTTTAATCTTATAAATAATGATGGTAATTCACCGTTAATGGTGGCCTCACTTTTGAATAATTTTCAATTTGTAGCTACTTTAGCCTGTGACGTCAATAGACAAAACAATCAGGGTCATACAGCACTTCACCTTAGTGTCATCGGGTTTACTTTGATAAAAGAAAAATTAAATATGATGAAAGTCAATTCAATAATGAAAGAGTTATGTGCCTTTGAATACTATCCCAGATATCTTAAATGTATTGATATTTTACTCAATCTTGGTGCAGACGTCAATATACAAGATAAAGGCGGGAAAACAGTTTTAATGTTGGCTTGTATGAAAAATGATAGGAAATTGGTAGAAAAACTATTAATACATGGAGCTGAGGTGAATATTGTAGATTACCATGGTCGATCTGCTCTACAATACATAGATTTACCAAACAATGTTTATGATTTAACATGTTTTAATTTACTTCTATCTCATGGTAGTAAACAATTTTTTAATCAGCCATGTATTAATGGTAACACTATTATTCAAAATGTACTCCAATTCTCACCATTATGGCAAATTGATCAAACAGTCAATATCATCAAATTTCTTGTTTATAAAAATGTCAACCTTCAACTTTTAACCTCCGCTGATGGAGAAATCTCCTATGGTCAGTTATCTCTGGAGGAATTTTCTTCACAATCTAGGCATGAATTAAGGCAAATTCTGTATTTAAGTGGTGGTTCATTTATACAAATTACACAAATATTACATTTTGAAGAAGAAGAAAATTATGAAGCATCATTGCCAGAAACTTTAAGAGAAAAACCGAGAGAAAAATTCTATCTTTTCGCCAACAGTCTGAGCCTTAAAGAAATTTGTAGACGATTTATCAGACAAAATACAGGTCTAACAATTCATGATCGAATTTCAGAACTTCTGAATTTTCCAACCCTGACTGATTTTCTGATGTTTAAAGATTTTGATTCTAAACGATTTTCACTGCCTGTTCAGTTAGAGTCTTTTATTGATAATGATGATGATGATTATGATTCCTATGATTTAAATAAGGAGAATGATGATTATGAGAATGATTATTTGGTGTATAATGATTGTAAATATTTAAATGAGGTACAAGCAGGTTTAAAATACCGTGATTCAAAATCATTTTCATTTCACAATTATTGAATAAAACAAACAATTTGAGATAAATATGAATTATGAAATATGTATTGGGGGATAAAATGATAATTGTATTTAAGACAACCATACCTGATTTGCATTTCAAAATCTGTCTAAAACTAAAAAGCGTCCTACTTGGATTTATTTTCGAATCAATAACCACAATCTTTCCATTTTCCATTCATGTTCAGTAACATACCACAATCACCAGCTTATGGAGTGAACATTTCACAACTCATCTGCTATACTAGAGCTTGTTCTATTTATGATGATTTCCTAGTTAGAGGTCGAGTATTAACTTTGAAATTGCTGAAACAAAGTTACTTGACACACAAACTTCATGTAGGAAATTTTATGATCGTTATAGAGAACTCCTTGATAAATACAATAAATCTGTTTCTGGTATTTTGGCTGATTTGTTTGGTCAAGCAGGAATTGATCCGGTTGTATCTCATGATTTAGTGGCGGGTGTCGAACGAAGCAGACCATGTTTACTCTTTTCGAAACACCTGATGGTACTTCTCTTTAGAGGAGTTTACTACTATACTACATTTACTCCCGATTTTGCCATTCTTTGGACGAGATTTTTGATTGACGGAATTTTGCTTGTATAGATTTTTATAAAGCCTGATTTCTGATTTTGAATTATAAGAATAAAACAATATGAGAAAATCTGTATTGGGGTTTAAACTAATATTGTATTAGAGATAACCATCCCTGATGTAAATAAAACATACTATAACAGAGATTCAGATTGAAACTTCAGTCGAAATACTGGCTTAATTAATATACATATATATCATTTATATTGTATTTTACATATTCTTTTTTAATTTAGAAGAGGGGGGGGGGGGCATCTTATTAATTTGTTCTGTTAAGAGCTTAATATTTGGGGATTTCTTCCACCAATCTAAAAATAATGATGCCGCGAAAATATAAGAACTATAGGATAGTAAATGGCATTCATTGACTTCACCAAGTAAGATCAAATTAAATGGTACAAAAATATTACCAAAGCCTTGTAAAGACTATAACCAATAAAATAAAGCTTGGTGTAAATAGTGGGAACTTATTTAATTGTTTACGAATTAATGTTTCTTACAGTATATGTATTTTAGTTAAAAACAAGTATTTATTACACAGTGTTATTAACTCACTGAACATGTATTGTATATGATAAACATATTATAATAACAGTATTTATTACACAGTGTTATTAACCCACTGAACATGTATTGTATATGATAAACATGTTATAATAACAATATTTATTACTCAGTGTTATTAACTCACTGAACATGTATTGTATATAATAAACATGTTATAATAACAGTGTTTATTACACAGTGTTATTAACTCACTGAACATGTATTGTATATAATAAACATGTTGTAATAACAGTATTTATTACACAGTGTTATTAACTCACTGAACATGTATTGTATATGATAAACATGTTATAATAACAGTATTTATTGCACAGTGTTATTAACTCACTGAACATGTATTGTATATGATAAACATGTTATAATAACAGTATTTATTACACAAGGTTATTAACTCACTGAATAGGTATTGTATATGATAAACATGTTATAATAACAGTATTTATTACACAGTGTTATTAACTCACTGAACATGTATTGTATATGATA